GAAATAAGTTATTAAATAAAACATATCGAACAATATGAACTACGTTAAAATTTCTTAGTAATATACGTCAGAATATATGCTAAACACATTATATATAATAAAAATATATTAAATTTATAGTTCATGTCTGGCAATTTTGCAATTTTATAGATAAACGTGGCAATATCGATTTTTTTTTTCTCGCATTCCTTCCGTAGCTACAGATCCGCTGGTCAAACAGTAACTAGGAGTTTGACTAATTCAATTTCTTTTTGTATGTCAACAACTTTTATCTAAATATGTATTAAAAAATGAATAAATACAATTTTTACGAACATCGGACTTTAATAAACTATAATTGTTGCTATACAGGGTACTCCCTAAATTCCCTATACAGGATATAACTTTATTAACAAAATGAAAGGCGCGAATCCTCACTTAATTTTAAAATGAAGATGTAGTATAACATTTTTTCGAGTTTCTCCTCTTTTTTGGTATACAGAGTGTCAATGATAACTAATTAAATGGATTTGTATACAGGGTACTCCCTAAATTCCCTATACAGGATATAACTTTATTAACAAAATGAAAGGCGCGAATCCTCACTTAATTTTAAAATGAAGATGTAGTATAACATTTTTTCGAGTTTCTCCTCTTTTTTGGTATACAGAGTGTCAATGATAACTAATTAAATGGATTTGTATATAATCAGGGAATATGTAATAGAGAGTTTTTTTTCTTGAAGATGAGGCAAGGTGCTAAAAAAAATAAAAAAAGTTGTATTTTAATTTGCCTCGTCTAAAAAAAATTAAGAATGAAGAGAAAAATCAGTGGCGTACATCTTTATCAATAACATTGCCTAAACCAAAAGCTACGGCCACGGTACTTAATAATTTTAGCTGCGATTTTAGTCTCGATTTGTCCTAATGAGGTCGTTAATACTTATATAAAAAATATACTTATACTAAGTATATATATAATAATACAAATAATGCTACCAACTTTTAACACAATTTTTAAAAGGATTTTTGAGATTTTAAAAAATCCGATTAAAAATAAAACGTCTACACCCTGTGTATTGAAAACGAAAAGATATTCAAAAAAAATTATGAATTACATACATAAAGTTAAAAAGATCATACAATAGGTTATTTTGTTTGAAATTGAACAAAACATTAAATAACATAAGCAATGTTCTTATAAGTGAACATATGGTATTTAAGAAAAAACAATAAATTTAACGGCTAACCGAAAAGGCTAATCACAAAAGTTAACTTATTTTTTTAAGAAAAAGATCCAGCTATTCAGAATCACTGCTACTGTCATTATTGTCGTTGAAAAAGATGATGGATTTGGATCAAATGATTTTAATAAATTTAGAGCTTCGGGAACAAGCCTTTTCTTTTTGGATAACTTAAGTTTTCTTAAACTTGTAATTAGTGGATCAGAAGAAATCAATAGATTATGAAATACATCTGTATTAGTCTCCCATTCTGCTCATTTTTCTTGAATGATATTCCCTGTATCGTCTGTACTCCTTATTTCGAGCTTCTTGAGCTTCCTCCGATAATTGTCCGATGGGTACAGGAACGATTTTATGATATCTCCCCCATGGATAAGAATTTTATGTATAGTGACAGGCATTTTGTACCACGGATAAAGAAATACAAATTGCTTACTAGTTTCTAAGGAGTATGATTTAAAACTATTAATGTCAATGCTGAATCCGCTGGTAATAACTTGTAGGATCACAAAGAATCGATATATTAAATTTTGATTCAAACCTGTTATTTCGGCAGATATTGTATAATTTTGGAAAAATTTGCGCGCGGTATTACCGTCATTACTTGTACCAACACCTTGTTTCACTACATCTACAATTATGCCTAAACGATTTCTAAACCCTTTTTGAATTCTTTGCTTTTCGTTTTGACTTACAATTTTATCTTTTCCAACACATCGCCATTTTTGTAAACTTAAACGGTAACTTATCTTAAGCAGGCATTCCAGACAACGAATCCACGCGTGTAAGGTAGACATTCCAAATTTTAAATTATCCTCCCGTATTGGTCTTTTCAGCACAACATCTATATCATTCATATGTGAAGGTAAAGCCCCACAAATAAAACACTTTTGTGACGATGTATCTGTCAAAGCACTAATCATCTTACCATCAATCATTGACATTATTAACTCATGTTTTATGTAAGCAGTCAAATGCTCACTTACTACAACTACAGTTTCAACAAGTTGTTGTATTTCTTTATCCATGTTACTTTTTTCATTTTTAGATACTTCAATGGTTTCTTTTAAAAATTGCATTTTTATAGGCCTGCAATAAACAGTTGACGAAGGTCGTGGATTTTGCCATAAAAGAATTTTTTGTTTTTAAATCTTTCGAGTACAATGCTAAGGGAACCAAACAGGACAAAATAAATTACTATCAATAAAATCACCCTCCTGAAAACCTTGTTTATACTCTTTTGTCCTGAACTGCCGCACATCCCCACTTACTTAGCAAAGTCAAATTGTTGTTAGTTTGATTAAAATTATCGGAAGAAAGCTCAAGTACTAAAAATAATCTGGATACAGTGTGATCTAGTAATGACTGTAAAGTAACACAAACAGAGTGTTCTGTAGCAGTGATATCTGAGGGGTAACATAATTGTTTGGCGTTTCTTATTGTATTATATGGTGGATATAAATTTAAATTGTTTTCTTTCGCATTATTTCGTAACAATTGATACTGTCGCTTAGAAAGATTCGTATCTATTATTAGGGACAGCGCTTTCTCTGGAGACATTTGAAAACTTGTTTTTTGGTTACTATTTGAATCATTTGATATTTTCAAATGCTTGACTGACTCATTTGATGAGTTTGCTACTTGAGCCAATAAACTTGCAGCTGCAGGCTTACCGGAAGTTCTTAAACCGATTTCTGTAGCAAACACAAGCTCACTGGTTTCAAATTCTCGGAGTTTTTTTGTTCTTTTATATTTTCCAGCATAACTTAAATTGTCAAATTTTACTTTCTGTCGACCAACATTAGAAATTCTTGGTTTGTTGCAAGGTATGGTTACACTTGTTTCCAGCCATGCTGCGTATCTCACCATAAATCTATTTTTATTTCGGTTAGCAATCTGCCATTTTTTTCGAAATTGACAAAAATAATTATTTGCCAATGACCCTATAAGTTTTTGGTTTTGATTTCTACAGCTTTCACACAGACTATTATATAAAGTTTCTTTTATCAATAGTTTTTGATGGCAGACTTCATATAAAGATCTTATAGGAACTGAATGATTTTTGAACTCTGAAAAAAAGCTACTTTTTAGTTCAGTTGTTACTTGAAAACACCAAAATAAAATTACGCAAAAAGTAAGACCCGGATGTGAAATTTTATTTTCATTTGAACTTCGCCACCATCTTAGTTTTCAAGGTGACAGGCAAATAAATACTTCAACTCAAAAGTCCTGATCAATTGAATGTAAAAAGAGATTTGTTGCATTAAAAATTGATCATAGAGTTAAAAAAAAATGAACGAAAACTTGTGTTGCGATTTTGTGTCACTCGGTTTAAATTATTTAAAAATAATTTTTTTTAAAATGGAGCAGCTGGAGCAAGATTTTGTTTTGCAGAAAACATTATAAGATGTTTCTTAAATACACGGTAGTAACAGTGGCCCTAAAGGATGCTAAAATTTTAACATATTGCTTAATAAAATTAAAAAACCCTTTATTTGGCAATTTTTTTTGGTGTTACTTAAAATGTAGGATTTCTTTAGGATAGTTGTGTTTCAGAGTAACCTTATCAGCATAAAATTAATATGAAAACTTCCCTTCCCTGGTTTCTTGCATGTTTACTTTGGTAAAAAAACAATTTCTTTGAAAAACAGCTCCAGTTTTAACAGGCAAAATTCTATAAATTGAACAACACAAAATGACGCGTCAACAAACTTAACAAAATTATTGTTGATACTCGCACCATGACAACGGAGCGAGTTCATTTGTTTGTTTTCTGATGTTTCATGGTATACTTAATCAGTCTGCGATAAGAAAGAAAAAAATTGGACGAAATAGGTTCTGGGTCCATTTCAATCGCTAAGGCTATCCCTGGCCCACTGTGCGTCGCCAAAAGATCATTCATTAGAAGATGGTACTATACGAAGAAGAAAGACACTGGAGAGATCATATACGCAATGAAGAGGTTCTTGGGAGGCTTAACAGGAAAGGGAATTACTTGCAAATATAAAAACGAGAGTCAGCATACTTGGGCCATGTCATGCGCAATAGTAGAGCAAAGCTTCTGAAGTTGATTATAGAAGGAAAGGTAGAAAGCAGAAGAGGACTTGGGAGATGCAAACACTCTTGGTTGAAGAACTTACGAGACTGGACTGAACTAAACTCACACGAACTGTTTCGAGCTGCACACGACAGACATTGTTTCACCGCGATTGTTGCCAAAAGATCATTCATTAGAAGATGGTACTATACGAAGAAGAAATACACTGGAGAGATCATATACGTAATGAAGAGGTTCTTGGGAGGCTTAACAGGGAAAGGGAATTACTTGCAAATATAAAAAACGAGAGTCAGCATACTTGGGCCATGCCATGCGCAATAGTAGAGCAAAGCTTCTGAAGTTGATTATAGAAGGAAAGGTAGAAGGCAGAAGAGGACTTGGGAGATGCAAACACTCTTGGTTGAAGAACTTACGAGACTGGACTGGACTGAACTGAACTCACACGAACTGTTTCGAGCTGCACAGGATAGACATTGTTTCACCGCAATTGTCGCCAAAAGATCATGCATTAGAAGATGGTACTATACGAAGAAGAAAGACACTGGAGAGATCATATACGTAATGAAGAGGTTCTTGGGAGGCTTAACAGGGAAAGGGAATTACTTGCAAATATAAAAAACGAGAGTCAGCATACTTGGGCCATGCCATGCGCAATAGTAGAGCAAAGCTTCTGAAGTTGATTATAGAAGGAAAGGTAGAAGGCAGAAGAGGACTTGGGAGATGCAAACACTCTTGGTTGAAGAACTTACGAGACTGGACTGGACTGAACTGAACTCACACGAACTGTTTCGAGCTGCACAGGATAGACATTGTTTCACCGCAATTGTCGCCAAAAGATCATGCATTAGAAGATGGTACTATACGAAGAAGAAAGACACTGGAGAGATCATATACGCAATGAAGAGGTTCTTGGGAGGCTTAACAGGGAAAGGGAATTACTTGCAAATATAAAAAAAACTAGAGTCAGCATACCTGGGCCATGTCATGCGCAATAGTAGAGCAAAGCTTCTGAAGTTGATTATAGAAGGAAAGGTAGAAGGCAGAAGAGGACTTGGGAAATGCAAACACTCTTGGTTGAATAACTTACGAGACTGGACTGGACTGAACTGAACTCACACGAACTGTTTCGAGCTGCACAGGACAGACATTGTTTCACCGCGATCGTCGCCAAAAGATCATTCATTAGAAGATGGTGCTATACGAAGAAGAAAGACACTGGATAGATCATATACGCAATGAAGAGGTTCTTGGGAGGCTTAACAGGGAAAGGGAATTACTTGCAAATATAAAAAAACGAGAGTCAGCATACCTGGGCCATGTCATGCGCAATAGTAGAGCAAAGCTTCTAAAGTTGGTTATAGAAGGAACGGTAGAAAGCACAAGAGGACTTGTGAGATGCAAACACTCTTGGTTGAAGAACTTACGAGACTGGACTGGACTGAACTAAACTCACACGAGCTGTTTCGAGCTGCACAGGACAGACATTGTTTCACCGCGATTGTTGCCAAAAGATCATTCATTAGAAGATGGTACTATATGAAGAAGAAAGACACTTCTTAGGACAAAAAATGTACTAAAAAAACAAAACCGGAATCATCAAAACAAGAAAAAGAGTGCATCTACCAGATACCTACAGGTATATTTTTTTATTAAAAATACAGTCCAGTGTTTTTGTTTTGAACAAATAATTGAATAACTTAAATTGTTCTTGTTATATGACTTAAATGAAGAACTTACTGGCTTAGATGAAGAATTGTTCTTGTTATATGAAGAACTACAAACACAAATTAACGAACTAAATACAGCCAGCAATAAAGTAGGTCTCAAAATTAATTTAGAAAAAACAAGAATAATGTACAGGGTGTCCCATTTTAGTTGAAATCATACGGTATCTCCGTTATTAGTAAAAATAAGAGGATGCGGTTTGCACAAACCTGCGCCACTTTTTTGTCAAACGGAAGATGCTGCCAACAAAATTTTCATAGCCCTCTTCGTTTCTGAGCTACGGGGTCTTTTCGAAAATTATGCAATTTGGGACCCCGTATCTCCGTTATTATGGAAAACTGGTTCTTGTAGAACTTTTTACGTAGAATACAGTGGCGTAGTCTGTTTTCCTACGAAAAAAATATTTTTGAAAATATGAACTAAAGTTATGTTTTTTTTAAATGGAACACCCTGTATATTTATAAATCGTATGATTCGCCTTGCTATGATCTTCTCATAAATATATATCACTCTATATTTATTTTAACTATTTACTGCAATATTTAAAATATATCATTTTCTTAAAATCAAAATGGTATTTACTAAAATAGTCATACACATATTAAAATTTTATTTGAAATTGATATATTTTACTTTTGAATGTTACCACTGAATCTCTAAATATATTTTTCTTTTTTTTTATAACCGAATTTATTAACGGTTTGATCGGTTTGCAAATATCTAAAAGCTTGTACTATTAAAGCATTTTCCAGGTGTTCGACATTGTGTTAGTTGCCACGATATATTTCATATTTCAAAAATCCCCAAAATCAGAAATCGAGAACGGACAAATCCGGGAATCAGGGAGGCCATCATATGGATCCAATTCATTGATTTGAAAAATAATAATTTCACAAAATTCTAATATTTTTGTTGTAAGTTAAATTGTGAGGGGGAGCCCCATCTTGGCTGATAGTATGTTTTACGTAAATTAGCTAAAGGAATATTTAAAAGTTCCGATACGATAGCTTTCAAGATTTACAAATAGTGGTAGAGAGTTAAGTTTCCCTAATATATAAAGAATTTATTAGTGGCTCTCAAAATAAAACAAGAGACAGATAGCAGTATACTTTTAATAATTCTTTAGTTTCTTTTATTTTCAATCATGGCCTACTAATAAATATGATCTTTTAATATTTGATTTTAAATATTGCAGTAAATAGTGAAAATAAATATAGAGTGTTATCTTTTTGAGCAGCTTATGACAAGCCAGATCATATAACTTATAAATATACAGGGTGTTCAATTTAAGAAAACATAACTTTAGTTCATATCTTTAAAAATATTCTTTTCGTAAAATAACAGACTACGCCACTGTATTCTACGTAAAAAGTTCTACAATCAACAGTCTCCATACCTTTAAGAATAACACAGATACAGGGAGTGTCCTAAATTGCATAATTTTCAAAAAGACCCTGTAGCTCTGAAACGAAGAGGACTATGAAAATTTTGTTTACGGCATCTTCCGTTGGACAAAAAAGTGGAACAGGTTTGTGCAAACAGCACCCTTCTATCTTCACGAATAACGGAGATACCGTATGATTTCAACTAAAATGGGACACCCTGTACAATGAACAAGTAGACAGAAAAGACATTGTAGTAAATAACACAAAACTGGAAATAGTAGAAGAATACATATATTTGGAACAAATAATATACAAGTAGAGGGAGAAGGGGGTTTCTGCATCAGGAGGATCAGAGGATCAGGCGCACTGCGCATGCGCGTAAATCAGCTAGGAACATGTAAGATAGGCTAATAAACAAGAATAAACAGGTTTGAACCGCTTTGAACAGCTTTTGAACAGCTTTGAACCGCTTTTTAGCTTAAAACAACAGACCTGTTCATTTTTTGTTCATACCTGTTTATTTCTGTTTTAAAGGTGTTCAAAGCGGTTCAAACCTGTTTATTCTTGTTTATTAGCGTATTTTACATGTTCCTAGCTGATTTACGCGCATGCGCAGTGCGTTTGATCCTCTGATCCTCCTGATCCTCCTGATGCAGAAACCCCCTTCTCCCTCTGCTTACACAGCTCGAGATCTCTACTATCAGAAATCAACCGAAGAATTAAATTAGCATGGAATATTTATGGATGAAACTCAACCATATGCAAATCTAGAATGCCACTTTATCTAAAGAAGAAAACATTCAACCAATGTGTACTACCAGCCATGACCTATGCATGCGAAACCTGGACATTTAAAACGAACATCATAAGGAAACTGCAGGTTGCACAACGCTCACTGGAAGGAAATATACTGGGAACAACCAAGAAAGACCGTAAAAGAGTAGAGTGGATACGACAAAAGACCAAGGTAATAGATGTCATCCACAGAATCAAATCCCTCAAGTGGCAATGAGCAGGACACCTGGCAAGAAGAACGGACAGCAGGTGGACCACAACAACTACAGAATGACTAACCTAACCTACCCACTAGAAATTAAGACCTAGAAGAAGACCGAACCTGAGATGGGATCATGATATTAGAAAATTAGCAGTGATAACTTGGGCCCGCATAGGCAACCATAGACTCTCAATAGGCCCAATTACTCTCTTTGTAGAGAGTATCTAAATATGTAAGGGGGCTACACCGCAATTGGAACTTGTTAAATAAGCTGAAAATGATGATGATATGACTGAAAATTGCATTTCTACATATTAATTTCACTTACAAACTCTCCATTCCGACCTTTTTCAATTTTATGAAAAGTTCCAAAGTGAAACTTTCAAATTCCCGATTATTTTCCACCCTTTTAAATCGCTACAATTGCAAATATATTAAGTTACTGAGCCCGGTACTTTGTTTGAAGTTGGGTCAGTAAATTTAAAGTTTCTTTGACCAAGTAAAAAACTGATAAATCTCTTTCTCTCGGAGATAAGTCGGTGCGCTTTTTGGTTTCGAACTTTCCGATGTTTTATTAATTTTGCTTGACAAACTTTTGATAAAATCAATAGGAACAGTTGTGATTGTTACTTGCTACAAAGTTGACGGCTTAGAACTCTATCTGCGTCTATATATCTTGCAGTTTTATGAGTTTGTTAAATCTAACAAGAAATTTAATTTGTAAATACTTCTTTAAAATCAAAACAGGTTCTTTAAATTTAAGCTTTTTTCAATGAGGTTTATTGTGAACAACCCGAGCTTTCGACTACTACTTGCACTTATGATATGTTGGTGGTATGCATGGTCTGCAATATCTCACTTCATTGTCTCACCCTTTTTGCGTAATTTTTTTTATGTTGGTTAGGTTGTACAGGGTGAGTCAGCGATAGAGTCTATTCTTGGATCTTTGTATATTTTTGGATTTTTTGGGAATCTCATTTGTTTCGAGGTTTACAAAAAATGTTAAATATAAAAATTATAGGGAAAGTCAAGATACATATTTTAAAATTATTATAGAGTATACAGAGTGCTTCAAAAAAACACCCATTTTTTATTTAATTTTTATATTCTGCTTAAAATTCTATAACTTTTGAAGCGAAACTTCTTTACGCGTGGTAGGAGTAAAAATTCGTTGCTATGACACACCACGGCCTTGATACGACATGGCCTTGACGCGCGAGCTAGCGAGAAAAAAAAGTAATGAGTAATGATCCGACAAACACCAAAAAAATTTGATTTAAAGCTAAGAGAAGCATTATAATAAACTTGATACTGCCAAGTTCTCGATCATCGAGACGAGATATTAACAAACTCTCGTCTCGATATTTTTCTCTAAGTCAATTTCTCGATCTCGATACGAGATTCTCGAAATTTTGAGAGTCTAGAAAATAAATAACTGATTTATTATTATTAAAAAATATCATGTTATAAAGTCTGCACCAAAAGATAGGGTAATTTTTTTCTGTTAAAAAATTACGTTATAAAATAGAGAGCTATTATAGGTATGGTATTGAACTAAAAGCCATGTGTAACAAAAAAAAAACGCAGACTTTGGCCCAAAATCCCAAAAATAAAAATATATTGTTTTAAAAAGCGAAAATCAAAACGACTCCTTTATTTTTCAATTTAGTATTTGATCCCCATATGGGTTTAAAATTTACCTAGCTACCTATGAAAGTTTAAAATTTTTACTTCGTTGTGCAACAAACTGATTTTTGTTTACTCGAAACAGTCTTTTATTGAAAAACTTTTTTTCTTCGACATTAGGTACTTAGATTCGCTTAACTCAATAGGATATAATAGTGAAATTTATAAAAAATAGTGCCATAGGAACAAGAATATATTATATTTACATTTCTTTATTCTGAACAGACCGACTGATCGAACAGTTTTGGGGAAGTTTTCTTTTGATTATTTGTAATAATTGTAAATAAAGAACTGTAAATTAGCATTGTACTTAACTGATGTCATTGTTTGTTGTTTTTAACATTAGTTGTTTTGTGCGGAGGTAAAATGCCCTAGTCTATCGCCTGTCAAACCTTTATGCCTGTTAAACCCTTATTTTTTTCGTTTTAGTTTAAGAGTCTTTTTTTCCTTTAAAAATATGAAAGTATTTGTGTTTTTACCTTTGTTATCGTTGTTATGTTACTTTTGCTTTGTTAATTTTCTTATGTTTAAAATGAATTAAAATCATTTCCCAAGATAGTTTTTTATTTCATTTCTCTAGCCTTTTATGAGCTGTTGAGTTATTGCAGCATTTAAAGTTTTTCGAGATCGAGAAATCTCGAAAAAATTTCTCGATCTCGAAAAAGCTCGAAGTCATTTTCTCGATCTCGTCTCGAAAAAAAAATTCTCAGTCTCGTCTCGATCTCGTCTCGAAATCGAGACGAGACGAGAAATTTCGAATTACGAGAGTCTCGTGAAACCCTAGTCCCAGTATTCTCTGGTTATGTGCTAAGAAGTAAATTTTTGTGCACATTTCCATCGATAAATTTGTAGCTTCTGAATAACAGTCTAGGTAAAGCATTTAGCTCATTTGTTAGCTCAGAATTAGAATTTTTAGAATTAAGCAACTCGCATTTTCATTGGAGGATATTGTCATATTTATTTCACAATAATCAACGGGAATATTCGTATAGTTTAAGAAAATTACTGTTAACCAGTGTAAATACAAATTGTTGGTTTGGTTCAAATATTTTTCTCTTTTTAAATAAATTTAAGCGTTAACATTATTAGGCATTTGCATAAAAGTGTGTATTTTGTGTGGTATTCCACAAAATCTTCAGGCTATTGAGGAAACAGAAAATGTACAGATTACAGAAATAAATTGAAAATAATATTTATATTAAAACAGCATTATATGACACTTTTTTTTCAGATTTTTTGGATCTGCCATTGATGTTATACACCTAAAATTAATAGTTTTTGTATTATTTGAACGTGTTTAAACAAATATTAGATTTAAGTCAGGTAAAAAATTGTCACTGATGTCATCGTTTCTGAAGTTGGACTACTAAAATTTGGTAGGAGAGTTTTATAGAGGTGAAGATAAAGATACATGTAAAGATATTCTAGTTAGATCCTACAGGGTGTTCAAAATATACGTTTAAAGAACTATAACAGATATGAAACTTATACATTTTTCTTTCTTTTTCAGTTCATCGCTGTACTATTGGGCACACTACGACTTCTTCAACAACACAAAACTCGGAGAACCAGTACCAGGAAAGCAGTGCGACGAAGTGTTTGCTTCCTGGAAACAGAAGAAAGGAACTCTGAGGTCCCCTCTCAATACTCTAGTCTACAAACAGAACCAACCGAGTGAAGATATAACTTGTTTGTACCGGTTTGTCACTGACAAGAGACTGTTTGCAAGGGTGATATTGACCATAAATTGTGTCAATTTTAAGGTAAAACAACCGTCAAAAACTATGAAGACTGTATATCTGTAGCTGAATGTCTTGACCATTAAACATATACTGTGTGATATAGAAATTGCAACACTCTCCTTGCAACAGCCTCTTGTAGGCCTCAAAAGAAATAAGTTCTCAAAAAAAAAAGTTTTTTTTTTGTTAAATAAACTCTAATTATTGATAAACAGACTGGGATAAAAATGTTATTATCGTTTACTACACTTCATGCAGGCATTCATCAACCGACAAAACATTATAAATACATCTAAGCATGTAGTGGGTGTTGCCATTTATATGTCACACAGTATACTGGCAAATGTTAGTTTTGGGTCGAGTTTTCCATAAGAAAAGTACAATGCGTTTATAATGTACTGAACAGAGAGAGAACAGTAAACACGTTGCCAAACGTACGAAATAAACCGAGAAACTGTGCACAGGGTACGTGGAAGAGTATATAGCAGATTCGTCGCGGTGGACCGGTCGACCCAATCACTACTTAAAATTCTAGAAAAGGGTGTACTTCATGTGTTCAGCTTCACGATTTAATTAGGTCTCATGATACTTTATTTTTTGTTTATTTATTAACGAGTCGTTGTAATTTTTCCTATAGCTTGTAAATTTTTAAGTGCAAGTTAGTAACACTTGCATTTTTGGTAAAAATAAGTGGAATTGACTTGGTGTTTGACAGTGGTCACGCTATTAGAGCACCGAATTCAAAAATTGATATCTCGAAATTCATTAGAAATAATAGATTGTAGTTTTTTTTAAACTTTCTTAATATTTCTGCTATATTTTCTTCGCAGACAGTATGTGAAAATCTTTATAAATAAAAAAGTTACACGATTGCTGAGAATTGCTATGCACTAAATGTAAATGGATGTTTTTTTTTAAATTTTTGTATGGAAAAAACAAGCCTATAGAATTTTTATTATTTAAACATCTTGTAAAAGATCCCAACTTCAAAATAAAAAAAAGTTTCAATATCTAAAGTGGTTCGTGAGTTATAGCTTGTTACGTGTTAAAAACTTGAGTTTTTAAATTATCGCGATTACTGACGTTTTCTGGTTACAAAAAAATATGAACACCTTAACGATATCCTTATAATTCCATTTCAGATGATCAGAAACATATCTACTGGTTTTATCCAGTTATCTTTTCGAAAAAAAGTCTTTTAAAAATAACCGGTTTGCGATCGTAATTTTACTTTACTTGATAGGAAAGACGTACCGAAGAAATATGACCACACAATAACGCCCCAACAGGACGGTCGCATTTCTCTCACTCCGACTTAATAAGATCCCTATGTGATTTACTTCCACACATGTAAATACCGACCCAAAAGTAAGAGTTGCCAGCACGGTATAAATGTTTAAAGTAAAACTTTACTTGAAAGTTAAATCTGAAACTGCTAGAATCACACGGTACATTTCAATCGATACTCTTATTAACTAAATTAATCAGTTCCCGATTAACTGTTTCTTATTACTTTATTTGCAGGATCATCCTTATAATTCGGGCCCTTGTACAAACTGTCTGGAGGATCGAGTTGATAAGTTGGTGGTTTGGGAGCCGGTGACGCCAGGCTCGAATTCTTCGTATCCGATAACTTTGAGTAAAGCCGCTCAATCTGGCGACGTCACTTGTATTTGTAATAGACAATCGTTCTCAACTCAGGTAAGCCAATTTATTAAAATCCTTAAATAATTAAGTATTTAACACATGTTGTAGATTAGATTATACAGGGTCCGGCAATAGTGCGTCGGGTATCTGTAGCTCCTAGAATAAAAAACTTGAGAATTTTGTTTTAGTGCAAACCTAAAGTATGTACCAGGATGTATTTCAGGAAAATACTTTAACTTCTATAGGGTAGCTCAAAAAAGTGTGAGTGGACCTGGATGATTTTTTTTAAATGGAACACCCTGTATATTATTGCATTTTTGGCTTCCCTTCAGATCACTTTACATAACCCTAAGATATGAATAAATATATCTCGATAGTTTCAGAGATATTAAAAAATAAATCAAAAATGTAGTATATTTTTCAGCTCTTCTTAAAAAAATATTAAAAATACACGAACTGTTCTGAAATAAAAACTATATTAGGTATTTACTTTAGATGGTCTGTTCTTACTTTGCTATAAATATGGTAATCGTGAATCATACAGGATGTTCAATATTCTACGCCAAAGTTTCTAAAATATAAAATATTTTTTCTTTGTTTTTTTAAATGGAACACCCTGTATATTTTTTTTATTAGATCGAGAGTTTAAAAATGAACATTTTTTGTATTTGGAGTATTTCAAAATTTTTAACGGTTTTGCAAATACACGCAGTATTATTTCATATGACGCGTTCAATGGTAAAATACCAGAGAAAAATTATTGGGCGGCTTTGATAAAAATTTACTGTAGAAAATGCCATATGAAATATAAAACCGCAAATATCTCCGAAACCGTTCAAAATGTTGAAACACTCTAAATATAAAAAATGTTTATTTTTTAATTCTCCGTCTATTGAAAAAATAATATACAGGGTATTCCATTTAAAAAAACGAAGAAAAATTATTTTATATTTTGGAAAGTTTGGCGTAGAATTTTGAACATCCTGTATAATTTACGATTTTCATATTTATAGCAAAGTAAGTACAGACCATCTAAAGTAAATACCTAATATAGTTTCGATTTCAGAACAGTTCTTGTATTTTTAATAATTTTTTTAAGAAGGGCTGAAAAAGATATATTTTTGATTTATTTTTTAATATCTCTGGAACTATCAAAATGTATTTATTCATATCTTAGGGTTATGTAAACTGATCGAAAAGGAAGCCAAAAATGCAATAATATACAGGGTGTTCCATTAAAAAAACATCCATGTCCACTCATACTTTTTTGAGCCACCCTATAGAAGTTAAAATATTTTCCTGAAATATATCCTGGTACATACTTTAGGTTTGCACTTAAACAAAATTCTCAAGTTGTTAATTCTAGGAGACTGTTAATTAGACTGTTATAGGAGAGTTGTTAATTCTACAGATGCCCGACGCACTATTGCCGGACCCTGTATATTATATGAGAGTAAGGAAGTTAGTCACCGTGATCTTATAGATCTATTGTGTCCCCCTTTCTTGAATTGTAATTCATCATACACTCTCAGGGCTTTGGCAAAAGCCAGTAACTGAGACTGTTTTATAGAGGTTAGTTCTCCATCTCCGATGATATGAATCGTACCACAGTTTGTGACATGAATGGTTGTCTTCTTGACGCACTCAGTGCGGTGTTCTGATGTTTCCCCACGGAATCTGCATTCGTCATTGCTTCTTAGTTTCAACCTACTGAGATTTTTATTTCAGGAAATAGTGTCTTGTCATAAACCCCGTGACTATCCGAAAATTGCTTTTACTTAAATTAAAGAAAATCTTTGAGTCCTTAGAAAGCTCCTTTCCTAGCTAGAATGTTTGCTTTTTTTATTGCCTTTTTTGTCTAATTTGTTCAGCTTCTCTAGGCATTCTTTGACCAACTTCGAGTTGATGGTTATTGAGTTGATTGCTTTTAGTACTGCGTGACTATCGGATAAGATGGCTGTTTCCTATTTCCGATAGTTAATATAAGATAAATTGTACGTATCTTTCGATAGTGTGAATTTCTACCCGTAGGATGCTGGGGTAGGAGCCCATTGGTTTGCAGTTTTTAATTTTCAGTATACCACTTTATGATATGGTCTTTTACATGTTGAGTAAACGTTTCAAGGAGTGGATTTTTTTTATGCATTCTTGCAAAATTCTCCTAGTACGGTTTCTGTCAATGACTACTCTAATCATTGTCGCATTGGCATATCTACTGATGACTATATTTTCAATACATGGCACTGGACTAACAAATACATCCTATTAATTATTACGATCAAAAACTAAATATTTTGGTCGTATATGGGCTTTCGAACTATTACGAATTCGTAATAGTTACAAGTTACAATTTAATAGTTACAATATAAGCACTAACTCGTTAAATTATACTTTTATGTTATGTACTACTGTTTAATAATTCGTAAAGGGCTGGATACATGTACAAGCTTTACCACGAGCTTACCTGCACAAACCTATTTGTATCAGAAACTCGCTGTATGTAGACGGTAAAACGGTAGCACGCACAAACCAACAAGCGCGGCCTGCGTAAACGTCGCGCTGCTAAAGATTTTAGTTTGCGCAAACCAGTTTGGGTGATATCATACGTTTCAGCGAGTTCAAGGTACAGTTTTGTGACTTTTGTGGGTTTTGTGTTATTAGTTATCAACTCTTAGAAAATGTCGTACTTATTCCAATAAGTAGTTTATGACGAGTTTCATTGAAATATATTGATCGTTGCCATGCCTATGGAAGATAAAATCGAAAGATTATTCCGATAGAAACAGAAAAAATGATGCTTACAAGAAAATGGTTTTCTAATTAAAAACCAGTTTTACTCTACTTTGATCTATACCGTATATTTTGCTGTTTTTTCTTTAACAATAAGCAATAAAAAACAATAATTCGTCACTTGACGGAATTTCGGCCACAAACGGAACCACAAATTCAGAATAAGAATAATGACGAATGTATATACGCTCTTACTTGCATCGTGTGGACACCGCACAGTGTTCCTTCTAGTTTGCGCAAACTTTACCGTGCAGGCAAGTCGCTACCGTATAGCCGCCGTTTAAGGGTGTGTACAAACAAATTTGTAGACGAATTTTCTTCCAAAATAAATGCCACCTAAAAAAATAAATAGTCATAACTTGTGTGGACATGATTCACCATTAGACATTATATAATTTTCTTAAGGTAAGTTCATATACACGCGAATTGCGAAATCCGAATTGAAAACCCGTCTTTTTCGTTCATATAATAGCGAAATTCGAAAATAAATTTTATTATATATACAAGGTGTCCCAGAAATAAGTGCAAGTATTTTAACTGGTAGTATAGTTCAAGCCCAGAAATACACCTATGAGGATTTTTTCACGAAAAAAAGTTGGAAAATTCGAAATTTTTTGAAAAATTTTTGGAATTTTTTTTAATTTTTAGTTAAAAAAAACATAATTTCTTGATAATATGGCAACTAAGGTTTTAGATTAAATTTACAAGAACGAAAATCCAGAAAAGATCCAGTGGTTGTAATCCAGTGGTTCAGTGTCTCTTTGGAATAGCATTTCACAATTCGTGTGTATATGAACCTACCTTTATAAAGTAATTGCAAAACAATTTCCGATGCACGTGATGAACTTTGAGTGACAAACGATGGCGACAGCGCTGCCAGATTGGGATGGATTTATGAGATGAATCTTATTGTAAAATTGGGAAACAATATATTCATTATATCATTTTTTAAAGATTTTTACTTTTTATTTTTAATTTAATAATTAATATTTTACTAATTAATTGATTTATTAACAGTAGTCACTAACACTCACAGTAGAAATATTTAAATTTACGGCAACAGGTAGTCGCTACAAATCAAAATAAGTAGAAATAAGTTTAAAAGTGGTAATGCTTACCAATCAAACTTACTTCTCTGTCTGCAGTCAAGGGTAATAAAGGACTTTATTGTTTCGTTCTCATTCAAAATAGTTTATTAGAAAAGCTTCAAGCTTTTTGCTTCGACTGTTTAAATGCTTTGGCATATTTTTAACACACAATTTCAAGAAATGCAATACAAAAAATAAAAATTTAGTTCTTAAAAGAACTGTTTTTGCTTAAAAGTACAATTTTTAAAAAAGACTATAGAAATCGGAAGAAGCTATTCCCAAAAATTCAACAACAATACAATATTATACAAAATAATGACTGACATGATAATTGTCAAATAATAAACGACAACATTGGTGATCGCGGCGCAATGTGACCAACATGGCGATAATAAAAATCGCTTTAAATTAATTTTTGCAGCTTTAATCTAAATAACATATATCATTTGTTGTATAAAGTAAAATGAAGAGCTGCTCGGTATCTTAAATTATACAACAACTTTAAACATTTTTGCTAAAATTTCTTTAAGCTTTAGTGTCAATTTCGATATGATTGATGACGTGCATCGGAAAATGTTTTGCGTTTACAGTACTACTTAGTATCAAAGAAATGTTATAAAAAATATTTTATAATAAAAAATAAATTAACTATTTTATAATTATAATAATTTTTTCTAACAATGCAAATGTTAAGACTGAAATATAAAGCACACACCCAGATTACCTTAGATCCCAAATAATTAATATTAAGCTATGTAAGAGGAAGTTTGCTTGAAAAATATATAAATCACGTCAGCGTGAAATTGCGCCAGCGTAAAACAAACGACACCTAAGTACGTTATAATTAATTTCAGTTCTGCGACAAATATTTCATCATCTAGCGAACTTTTCAGATGGATCATATTGAGAAAGTTTCGGTAAACATGAAATTTTAAGCAAGCTTTAGTTGACGCCGAACAGCTAGTTGCAGCAAAATTATATGTGTTGCCACAGCTATCCCTTTGTAAAACAATTTAACTCCGTTATCTCGTGATAATCTACCCCGGTGAAAAATAAACTTGTGGTAACACTGGGTAACGATATGTGCCATACGTTGCTAAGAAAATCACTTTAATAAACTTGATATTGTACTAACCTTGATGTGTTCCAATAATTGTCTGGTTGTTTGCTAGAAAGTAAATTTTCATGCATATTGTCATCGATAGGTTTGTAACTTCTGAATAACGGTCTAGTTATTTCAATTGTCAGTTCACTGATGTCACTTTCAAATGACAGTTCACAAATTCGAATTTAGAGTTAGTAACTCGCATTTTCATTGGAGGACACTGTCATATATATTTCAAACCAATAATCAATAAGAATATTTGTATAATTTAATAAAATTACTTTAAATTACTATAAATAATAAATTGTTTGTAATTGAACTCTAATTTCTGTATTATTAATCCGGTAAATGATGGAGATAAACAATTGTGATTGATTAAAATTTTATTTTAAGATAAAATTTTGGTCAACAGCATTCTGAGAATTTGAATAATAAATTGAATAATAACAAGACAAGTGACATCTGTCTAAAAAAGACAGCGAATTAGAGTGGCAATTTGGTTATGTAAAATTTAGAGCAACAATTTTTATTATGCAAAAGAAATACATATTCTACCGTATGATCGAATAAAAACGGCGTCCAGTTGGCTTGGAAATGACGATCGATTACATTTCCCATATAAATTTACACATAAAATGACAGCGATCTTCATTTCATAGCCATCGCTGACGCCGTTTTTATTCGATCATACGGTATTAGTTTACTGATTGCCTAATGATTAACATTAATTTAAAAATAAATCCCTAACATGAATGATGATAATATTTAAACAAAAACAGACCACACAAAACAAATTGTTGGTTAGTGGCAGTTAGTAGTAGTCAGAGATATTGATGTAGTAGTATTATGGTTTAATGGCCACAGGCTATCCAGGGCTATACGGCCGGGTGAGAATGATAGTTTTTTAATAAAAATTAAAAAAACATTATAAAATTATAAAGCTAGAATAGTATACGGTTTTATATTAACTCTATTTTTTGGAAGTTTATAAAAAACATTCATAAAAAATATACAGGGTGACTCCTGAAAGTTGGCCATGCTTTCGGGAAATGATGGGGGACGTCGAAATATTAATTTTTATATACAGGGTGATTTTTAACATATACGCATAAAGTTGGGAAATTATTACTGATGACAAATAATGACTAACAATGAAAATAAAAGTTAGTAAAATATTTTTATTTACGGAGATAACAAACTATTTGAAATAAAAACGAAAAACTTAAATTTCATTAAATTGAATGTACACTAAATATTTTTATTTACGGAGATAACACACTATTTGAAATAAAAACAAAAAACGTAAATTCCATTAAATTGAATTTGTATTTACTGATAAAGTTGATAAATTTTTGTGAAAAAAACCCAAATTATTTCAGAATCTAAAAATATTTTACATTTATATTTTTTTTTTCATTATAAGTCATTATTTGTCATCAGCAATAATTTCCCAACTTTATTCGTATAGGTTAAAAATCACCCTGTATAAATTTTTGAAAAATAGAAGATATTCTTTAATAGTTTTTAACAGTTGAAGGTATCGTTATAAAATTTTATTATAGGAGTCTACCTAACAGAGACGCTTTAAATGTAAAAAAGAGGTTTTAGTTTCAACCAGTGGCGTAGATGTGATACGCATCGGGTAATTTTTACCAAAAAAAATAATACGACTCTGTTCGCCAAAAATTTGGGAGTTTCTTTATTTACTTGGTTTATTTCCAAGAAAAAATGTATCTTGCAACTTTTTTCTAACATCATTTTGTCACAATTTATTTTTTTTAATGAGAACCTTAAATAAGCGAATTAGTATAACCTTAAAACTAAGAATTTTATTATTAACAATAAAAAAATTCTAGTATAAATTTTAAATTTTTTAAAAATTTATTTAAGGAACTAAATCTTCCTATTTAAATTCATATGTAAGTGAAGAAGGGAGCTGACGATGCACATATGTTTTCTGCCCTCTAGTTAAAATAATTCGCTGTATTTAAGATTCTCATTAATTTTTTTTAAATTGTGACAAAATGATTTGAAACATTTTGATGAATGAAACATTTTTGCTTGGAAATAAACCGAGTAAATAAAAAAAACTCTAAAAATTTTATATTTTATCAGTCGCGTACTATTTTTTTGCAAAAATTACCCAATGCGTATCACATCTACGCCACTGGTTGAAAATAAAACCTCTTCTTTTTACATTTAAAGTGTTTCTATTAGGTAGACTCTTAACAATTAAATGTTATAACAATACCTTCAACTGTTGAAAAACTATTAAAAAATATCTTTAATTTTTCAAAAACTTTAATATCCTGTATCTTGGGTAAAAGACATTTCCGACCTATAGTGTGCTATATCAGAATTAATATTTCGACGTCCTCTATCATCACCCGAAAGAATGACCGACTTACAGGAATCACCCTCTATATACTTCAAATCCTTGAATTTGATAGCTGTTAGTAGTTTCACTTCAAATATAGTGCACACACAATTTTTTTTTATTTTGTTTTTATATATTTCTTTAGCAGCAGGAATGCATGTGGGTATTTCCAGTACAGACTCTGGACCAAGATAGGATAACTATGTTCCTTTCACCGGTTTATTCATTGCTATGGATGTCTCTTTCATCATTTTGTTATTTAAAATGTCCAGGAAATCTTCAGAAAAAAAATATTGCGTATTATTCCCCTGGTATATAAATGTCGCAGTGAAAAAAATACAAAGATAAATCTCTTATGCATAATAACCCAATAAAATAAGAATATTTTATTTCCTTCTACAGAAAGCGTTATATTTCTTGTCATTCTTGTCATTCCTCAAGCTTTTTTAGTGGCTTTTAATAAATAACACTATTGTGAGCGAAGTAATAAATTTGACCTGCACAAAAAATCCATTATGTCTTTTTGTTACTAGCACAATAACAGAGTATAAGTTGCTTAAAAGCTACAATGACGATGCTTTGCAAAATTTGGGGTTGTTCTTTTGTACTCTATACAGAGAGGCTAAAAAAGAACAAATCAGGAAGGATAACTTTTTTTGTCTTTCACTAGCAGATACCGGGTGTTTAAAATTTACCTCTCTTTATTGTGACATCAAAAACAGTAAGAGATACACAATGGTTCAAATTATTGGGGCAAATTATCTGTTTACCTAGCTTTAATAAGAAATATTGGTCCAATTACTCTCTTTTTGATATAGCAACCCATACAGCAGCTTTGACAGGATGCAAACACATTTAGAATTTAAGTAGCCCATATTCTATAGCTTTCATATATCTAGTTAGATAAAACCAACCTTAACCGGCAAACAAGGTTTTTTCCAATATTTCATTATTATTTAAGTTTACCTCAAACCACTGGCAGTATTTTAGTCAGAGATCTAGTGTGACGGGTATCCCAGAAATAAGTGCAAGTCTCCCCTCGTTTTTAGTTAAAAATCATAATTTATTAGGTATTAGATTAAATTTACAAGAAAGAAAATCCAGAAAAGATTCAGTGGTTCTCAAAATTTCAGCAAAAATTTTTTTTTGCAAATTTTCAAAGTGAGATAACTCCGTTATTTTACACTTATTTGGAAAACGACAAAAAGAAAATATGTTTCTTTTAACGAGATCTATATAATAATAGCTCCCGTATATAGCGTTTAACGCCTTGGGAGTAGCAAGGTACAGCTTGCTATACTAGAGCCGTTCGGTATACAAGGAAGGTAATGTGGCTAGCACTACGCTTCAACCGCCGATTATTACCTCAGAATTGTGAATCCCAAGTAACGAGATCTACCACCCCTTAAAATACTTGCACTTATTTCTGGGACACCCTGTATGTAGAATTGTTTTTTTTTACGTTTTTTGACAAGTACCATGAGACATTCCTACAAAATACATCTAGATTCAAAAGTTTTGCATTACTCGATTTTTCGAAAATAAACATCCTTCTGTGAAGACTAGACTAGAGACATAAAAGTGTGTTTTTATTTTATAAAAATTAAAGTAAAGTAATTTCCAAAGTAATTTTCTGTAAAAAGTGTGGTTCCTTATGACAGTATTGACAACAATTTCAATCATTGTCGAACACTCCGTACCTCATTCTATTCAGATTTTTCTTTGTAGATTATCTCAAAAAGTGAACAACTGAATCTTCAGCTAATCGTAGATGGCGCTCATAGTGCGTTGAGTTACTTCAAACATTCTGCGCCGCTGTTCGAAGCTACGTACGAGTTTGTCCACGGACCTTTGTGTGGACCAGCCATAATGTATCCTGCAACCGATGGTGAGATACACTATCCATACTATGAAGCTATCGGATTTGTTGAACCACCAAAATCCATAAGGTAACGTTTCGTTCACACTAATTACTGCAATGCTTCTTTTAAATATACTTAATATTTGCATAAACATTTAATTCATTAGTTTTTGTTTTTGAGTATTTTAACACCTTTGAATTTGTGTTTGACTGTGTATACAGGGTTGTTCACCACATACGACACGGAGTATTGTAGCTAAACGATTAGATTTTTACAAATTGTAAGTTTTGGGTTCGTTGAAGGACTATTAGAGCTACAATTTAAAAATATGTTTACAAGATACAGAGTGTCCCAAATAAATAAAAATATCAAAGTTGTATTTTTTTAAATGGAACACACTGTATATTATTACATTTTTAGTTTCTACTATTAAAATAAAGGTAAATTTGATTAAGGTTTATCACCCTTAAACCTTACCGTTTTTGAAATATTTTCAATTCTTTGAAATTGCAGTAAAAATTTTAAGGCTTCATTTCTCCAAGGGTTTCAAAGTTTTTAATACTAAATATCTACTGAAGTTGAATTATTGATCAGTTATTGTGTTGAAATAATAAAAATAATACTACCTCATACAGAGTGTCTAGAAATTTATTTTAAATAATTTCTAGCTTTAAACGGCAATAACTTATTTAATTTAAATGGGACACCCTGTATATTTTAGGAGAATCAGATGCACAATTTAATTGTCTATCAAATTGTATTGTACCACTTTCACATGACTAACTATGCATTTTCTTATAATTTAGACTTCATTTATCAATATACCAATATACCCATGGAATATTGACATTTTAGATTGTTTTTAAAGTAACAAATGTACAAAATGTACAGGTGCTAAAAATGATAATATTACCAACCTATTTGTATACAAAAATAAAACTATTTAAATCTTTATAGAAGAGTTATACCATTAATTAAATATACCACCATTATTTCCGCCCAAAAATTAAATAAAATTTTTAAGGTGTTACTTTTTACCAGACTGTCTAATACAGATATAAAATTTAGTTTTTTAGTATTTGGAGCAATTATTATTAATCAACACAAACAGTCATTAATGTAGTTTGAATACTGGAATTATATTAATTGGTCCTCTTTTATAAATATTTAAACATTTTTTTTTATTTTTTAATGACATAAACGAACTATATCGACCATATTGGTATCTGTACCCTTTAAAAATTTGTTACATCTTTAAAAATAATCAAAAATATCAATATCCCATAGGTATATTGATAATTTAGGTCTAAATTATAAGAAAATGCATTTTCTACGAAAACCTGAAGACATAGGTAAAAACTGATATAATACAATTTGATAGACAATTAAATTGTGCATTTGATTCTCCTAAAATATACAGGGTGTTCCATTTAAATTAAACAAGTTATTGCCGTTTAAAGCTAGTTATTATTTAAAATAAATTTTTAGACACTCTGTATAAGGTAGTATAATTTTTATTATTGCAACACCAAAAAATAGGTAAATAGAAATACTTCAGTACAATATTTGGTTTTAAAAACTTAAATACGCCTAGAGAAATAAAGCATTAAAATTATTACTGTATTTTGACAAAAACCTAAATATTTCAAAAACGGTAAGATTAAAATGCTTTAAACCTTAATCAAATTTACCTTTATTTTAATCGTAGAAACTAAAAATGTAATAATATACAGGGTGTTCCGCTTAAAAAAAAACTTTGATATTTTTTATTTATTTGGGACACTCTGTATCTTGTAAAAATATTTTTAAATTGTAGCTCTAATAGTCCTGCAACGAACCCAAAACTTACAATTTGCAAAAATCTAATAGTTTAGCTACAATACTCCGCGTCGTATGTGGTGAACAACCCTGTATATTGGTTGAATTTAGACCTGAGTATACATAAAATATTGCGTTATAGGTGTATATGGGAAATAAAAATCAACAAAGACAGAGACCTCTATCTACACTTCGACAGAATTAAGTTTAGCTCTAACTCTTGCGATGATGGTATCGTGGACATCTTCTTGAAAGGAAGAGTAGATCCATATTTGTCACTTTGTGGTGAAAACGTAACTCTAGTTAAAGATCTTCCTGTCTTAACTGCACCCCTTCTTAGCTTGGATGGGAATGATCCTTCAGTCACAATTCAGTTTATTGGTAAGTTTTCTTTCTCTATAACTTGGGTAGTAGTAAAAATATTAAAGTTTAACAAATTTATACAAATAAAGTACTTAGAAACAAAATAAGGCTTCTTGATTTTTACTCTATTTCTTGACTAAATATACGTGTAATGTTAACTCACTTATTTAAAATATATGCATTTTTTAAAAATTAAAATATATTCCACTAATTGCGAGGTTTTGAATATAGCTTAAAACTTGATTAAAAACCATACAACAAGAATTTTATAATCAGTTAAATGAGGGACAAACTTCATGAGGGACAAAAATAATTATATGCCTCATCATGTCTCTAGGTCGCACCTCGCCGACAAGAGCCGCCTTCAAAATCACCTGGAACGAACTGTTCCACCTGCCGAGGAACGTGGACGGCACTCTGATGACGTCACGACTCACCGAAGGAGGAAGTCCCGACGTGGAAGGCTGTGAATTCACCTGCCCGGGTGACCAAGGTCTGTGCATACCCAGTAGGCTGGTGTGCAACGGAGTGCTCAATTGTCCGAACACGTCAGAAACCAGAGGTAAGTAATTCATAATTATTATTTACTAGTTGAAGCCTGGCGCATCCGCCACATCAGGAAAAAAACTTATTTTTTTTAATTAAATGAAAAACAAAAAATCAGGCTACGCCGCGACGACAGTTTTTAGAAGAGCCAATTAGCTATCTTTTAGTAAAAAAGCAACTTTCTAGAGCAAGTCGTTACTTCAGTAGAGACGACACAGATGAACATTAGCATTTTATATATGTAAATTTTTGAGAAGTCTTGAATACAATTATTTAATACTAATAGAATTTTATAATTGAGAGATTTTTGTTTACTACTCATAACATAACATAATACAGAGTGGCGCCTCTCATACAAATGCCATGTACAGGGTGAGTCAAAAGTATGTAAAAATAGAAAAAATTGGAATAAATCGTAAACTAATAAAAATAGGTATATGACATACTTAATAAAAGTTGAAAAGCTTTGAAAAATCTATCAGAAAAAATGATAATGTATAGGGTGTACCACTTAAAAAAAATTAAATTTCTTGATTTTAAGTAGTTGAAATTCATAAATATATTTTGAACACCCTGTAACATCTAACTAAAACATCTTTACATAGGTCTTTTTCTATATCTCCATAAAATTCTCCTACCAAATGTTAGTTGCCCAACTTCAGAATTAATGCCATCAATGACAATTTTTTATAACACTGCAATCTAACATTTGTTTAAACAAATTTAAATATAACAAAAACTATTAGTTTTAGGTATATAACATTATATATAAAAAAGTTATGAAATTTTACGCAGAATCTAAAAATGAAATAAAAAATAGGGTGTAGGCATTTAAAAAAACATATGATATATTCGCCACACTTTTTTGAAGCACCCTGTATACTGTATAATAATTTTAAAATGTGTATCTTAACCATCTCTATAATTTTTATATTTAATATTTTTTTGTAAACCTCGAAACAAATGAGATAATGGACTTTACTCTATCGTTGACTCACCCTGTACTAGAGATAGATTGGACACTGATATAAAGCAAATAGGTTTGACATTTAGAGCCACCTGGTGATCCGGAAGAAACTAATGGAGAGTTTTGGCATAACACTATTTTAGCGTTCCGTTATTTATTAACGCTAACTAAAACGGTAACGTTATTCGAGCGCAAAATTATTCCTTGTAAAATATAAAATAATAAATATAGACTTTTTTACTACCATTTTATGTTTTATTAGATCATAAGAAGTGTAACATAGTGAAAACAAAATTAAAAATATGAATATATACATTTTAAACACCAACATATAGCGCCTATTTTTTTGATTTAACAAATAAATTTTAATATAGTAAAAATATTATAGATTATAATTAATTTTTACAAAAAATACTATACAGGGTGCTACAAATTCGAGGTACGAGCATTGGTATCTCTTCTTCTTCTTCCTGTGCCTTGTGCTTAGCCGCACGTTGGCGATTGTCTGTACTCTTCATACAATGTGTAGAGTGCCGTTTTCGGCTCTTCGAAATATAGTAGCTGCGTCGCTGATGTTACACCAATCCCGTATGTTTCTTAGCCAGGAATGTTGTTTTCTTCCTGGGCCTCGCCGTCCCTCTATTTTTCCTTGTAGAATCAGCTTAGGAATGTAATATTTGTCTCCTCTAAGGATATGGCCGAGGTATAAGACTTTCCTTTCTTTAACTATGTTAAGCATTTCTCGTTCATAGCCTACAGTTCTTAAAACTTCTTCGTTGGTGGCATGTGCGGTCCATGGCACACGTAAGAGTCTCCGGAGAGTCCACATTTCGAAAGCCTCGATGCGGTTCAGGGTTCTAGCCTTGAGAGACCAGGTTTCTGCGCCGTATAGTAAGATAGACCATATGTAGCATTTTACTACCCATAGTCTAAGTGTTAGCGGGAGACGGCGTGCTAATAGGAAGTTTTTAAGTTTAAAAAATGTTGACTTTGCATAATTTGTTCTAAGTTTAACTTCCTCATCGCAGTCCCATCGTTCATTGATCATGGCACCCAGATATTTAAATCGTGGAACTCGCTCTATAATATTTCCATCCACGGTCAATGCGATGTTGATTGTAGGCTGGCGTCCTATTACCATAAGTTTGGTCTTAGCAGCGTTGATTTTAAGACCGAAACGATTTCCCATGTCCCCTATCTTATTTATTATTTGCTGGAGATCCTCTAAAGTTGGTGCTAGTATTGCCGTATCATCTGCATATCTTATATTGTTAATTGGAACTCGAGTTCTCACTTTCTCCTTCCAGGGCCATTTGAAATATCTTTTCGACGTATATATTAAAAAGTATTGGTGACAGTATACAGCCCTTGCGGACTCCTTGACACACATTGAAGGTGTCTGTGGATAAATTTTTGTTAACTCTTATCTCCGCGGTTTGGTTGTGAGCCAAGATAGATCCTGGCGTCTATTCCTATCTCGAGCAGTCTGTTTAGGAGAATATCGTGTTTAACGTTGTCGAAAGCCTTCTGATAATCTATGAAGCATACAAAAACATCTTGGCGTTGATCATAACATTTCTGGATTAGTAGCTTGATTGAAAACAAAGGTTTTAAAACAGAAGAAAACAAAAAAATTGGTATCTCAGAAACCGTAATAGATAAGAAGATGGTTAAATTGGGACAAAGTTGCGCATTGTGATGTTCACCAAGATGCCATCAAAAAACTTTCAAAAATTTCAAGGATTGCTGAGTTTTTTAGAAAAAATGGATTTTTTTGAAAATTAATTTTATTTTTTGCTGTCGTTACTTTTTAGAAAATGAAAAAAGTAATTGCACTTTCTCATAGCCACTTGATTAGGGCTATCTGATGGTATCTTTAGATTTTCAAATTAGCTGATAGTTTGTGAGATACAGAGACCGACTTAATTTTTTTTGATACGGACCTGCATTTTTTATTTCGGTTTTTGAATGAACTCGGTCTCCTGAGTACAATGATATGCCATACTTTATACTTTTTTTTTGTTTTGTATATTTCAACACAATTTATTTAAACTAATTTCAAGTCCGGCTATGCTTTTGATATTGAATATTGATAAGCCTTCAAACTTCACCATGACGTGGGGTAAAACATTGAATACGGAAGTACAAAATGCATTCGGAAGTATATCAAGAAGATATGTTCAAAGAGCTATAAATAAAACTGAACGAATAGTAAATTTGTGCAATAGGGAGGGTGGTAACCCTTTCAAACATGTAAAGCATTAGAAAATAGTTTGTTAGAAGTTGATTTATTTATAATAACCACTTAGATTTCAAATTCATAATAAAAAAGTTAAAAATAATATCTTTAAATTGCTGACCTGGATATTATTACAATCCTTTGCTCTATAAAGTAAAATAAAGAGAAATTTAAACATTTTTGGCCAAAATTCCATTTAGTCATGTTTATAGGCTTTAGTGTCAATTAAGATATGATTAATGACGTGCATTGTGGAAAATTTGAGCGTCATTTAAAGTATTTTTTATCTTTCAGGGCATGGTCTTCACGACGAGTCTCCAGAACTCTGCATACGTGATACCGACCCAAAAATCAACTGGTTCTACGTTGGCGCCGCCACCGTCTCCGTGGTGCTGTTCATGTGCGGGTGCTGCGTGTTCCTGTGCCGCAGGTGCTGCAAGCACTGCTGCGCGCAAGACTAAAATATATCACCTAGCGTCACCAACAACACTGTTCAATTCCAAAAGCCTTATTGCGACACGTAACAAATGGGTAGGAAATATTTAAAGTATCGCTACTTTTTGAGTACGTGCGGAACCGGTATATAGGAACGGGTCTGCTTGTTTTGGAATACTCGTAGTATACAGGGTGTATGTAAATTAGTTTGTCCAACAAAATAAATAGGGTGGTAAAACAGAGGAAATGACATAATCTATAAATCATACCAAATAAACTTTTAAGCTTCATTCCGAACCTCGTAATTAGTGGAATAAATTGGTGGTTTGCATTAGCGTAGAAGTTTGTTCCTTTAATTTCAATGTAAGCATTCAGAACATCAGAATTAGTGGTAAATATTTTCAATTAGTAGAAAAAGTTGACAAACTTTTACCTTTTCCACTAATTATACTTCAAAATTTGCGAGAAATGTCATTTTGGGCTTTGATTATCTTCCGTCAAGAGAAATTCCGGTTAGAAATCAAAAATTTATTGTCTTATAATGTAATTATTAGGCTTTCTCTTTGGATACAACTGACTAACTCTATCTGTTGCTAGGATGTTCTATTAATTATTATTATTATTGTGTTTTTTAAAGGGTAATTGAAACCACTAATTGCGAGGTTGCGAATGAAGCTTCAGTCATATGTGATTAAGCTTGACCGGCACAGCGTTGTCCACTTTTACATATTTTCTTTAAATCAAAATATTTTGAGAAACAAAAATAAATTAATTATACATAATATAAACGGTTAATATTTAAGTTAGTAGTTAATATTTACATCAACAAAACTCACATCCTTAACAGCACTTGGGGGACATAAATGGTCACTACTACCGCTTTCGTGTTCAAAATATTCTAACAAGGTTGCGATGAGTTTTCTGCAAAGGCTATTAAGCTATCTTGTACACTTCGCACTAAAAGATATTCTATAAAGAACAATGTTCAACTGCAAGATCTGTTAGTATACATTTTTAAGCTAATTTGAAATATCATCAAAACGAATGGCAATGTCAGGAAAGAAATAAATAAATGTGACAACATGACATTTTTTATAGCAGAGCTACTACCTGAATCTCCAGCGGGAAATTTTAAATTCCTGTTAGTCAGCCCGGCGCCGAATGTGTCCATGGTTGGCAACAATGAATTTAAAAATCGCGCCTTCGATTACTTAACTAAAAGTTTAATTGGCATAGCTTATATTTTTGAAATTATATTTCTAGGATTCACAATAATCTCATTATAATTCAAGTCTTTACACACAATATCTTTCAAAATTTGTACTTCACTCTTCAGAAAAGTCCAACAAATTCGTAAAAATTCGAATCACTTTCAAATGTGTCAATTGAAACAAACAAACTGTCAAAAGTGGAGTTTTATGATGTCTAATTCATTTGTAATGCACGTAATATAAAAATAGTACGACACTTTTTCCTTAAGAGTCTATTTCACTAGTCCGAAAAAGTAGCAAAATAAACGTTCGGCATTTAACGTTTTATGTAACACTGGCTAGGTATTTTTACACAAATGAAGAAGGAGATTAAAGATAAAGGATTATACTATATCCGTATTGTAGCACATTTTAACCAACTTCTTTATTTTTAAGATTTTGATGGTCAAACATCAACAAAATATTTTTTATGTTTGGACTAAATTTTCTCGAAAATAAAGACATAATTTAAAATTCCGTTACAATACGGAATGAGATTGAAGTTTTGTGATTACAGTGATATTATAATTTATATAGTTTTGTAACAAATGGCTCGCTATTTTATTGCAAATTCTGAAGCTCTACAAACCTTAGTCAAGCCTTAATCCAAGCACGTGTATTTGGAATTTTGGGTGTAGCTTAACACGACAGGATCGGGATAAGCCTTAGGGCTCGAACTCACTGACGACCAGGTCGCAACGACCTGGCCGTCGGCTGGCCAGATGTATTGCGTTTTTAGCTGCGGCCAGATGAACGACCAGTTTCAACAGAGTTGTCAAATCTAACGATTTTTTACGTTTTACCAATTAGAAAATATTGTTTCAGAAATGTTAAAATATCCGAGTTAACTAAAAAGCGAAGTTGCTATTCACAACAAACAAAAAGCATTGTGTACGCGCGACCGACAAAAAAGGAGATATTCTGTTTCTTTTTTCTACTGATATGGCGCCCTTATCGACTTTAGAAGTAAACATATTAGGGCCATCGTAAAAAAAGATCGTCAGACACTGGCTCTAAATACCTATAAGCAGGTAGAAAGTTTAGCTTCCATTTGTTTCAATGTTTACAATACAACGAAGAATCTACAACAGTAATTACTTCTATTTTTATGAATGTTTAAGTTACTTTCTTAATTTTTTTTTTCAAAATAATGTACCTAGTAGAAATATAGTCTAATGAACCCTGTTTGAAAAACGTTAAATTAAATATAATATTTGAAATACAGTTGTCCTCCTTGTACATGACTACAATACAACTAAAAAAACTAATTTAATAAAAAACACAAGTGGTTGTAGAAAAACTTTAAATATTATTTTTTTATTTTTTAACATCGAAACTCAAAGGTATAATAACAGGTATCATACCAACCATAAATAGAGTAGGTATGTCATATAAAAATGTTTTGAGTTTTTACTAGAATCGACCCTTGATAAAAAAAAGGGATTAGATTTAAGTTTACCTTTGATCCAGTCTGTATACTATTTCTTTGGATTTTCTGCACGTGTGCAAAAACTACACTAAAACACTATATCTTATAGAAAATAAAATATTGTGCCTTGAACTTGAGGGATTTCATCTGAAAAATTATTAATTTGTAGGAAAACCGGCAACAAGCGGCAGAAAATAATAATATTTCCGTGCAGTCTTCTGGCCGCAACGACCAACGGACGGCCAGGACGTTAGTGTGCGCCCTAAGGGCTCAAACATACTGACGACCAGGTCGCACCGGCCAGGCTGCAGCTACCTCTAAAACCATTAAATCAAATGATATAGCGTACACTAACGTCCTGGCCGTCCGTTAATCGTTGCACCAGAAGACTGCACGGAAATATTATTATTTTCTGCCGCTGGTTGCCGGTTTTCTTCCAAATTAATAATTTTTCAGATGAAATCCCTCAAATTCAAGGCACAATATTTTATTTTCTATAAGATATAGTGTTTTAGTGTAGGTTTTGCACACGTGCAGAAAATCCAAAGAAATAGTATACAGACAGGATCAGAGGTAAACTTAAATCTAATCCCTTTTTTTATCAAGTGTCGATTCTAGTAAAAACATTTTTATATGACATACCTACTCTATTTATGGTTGGTATGATACTTGTTAATATACCTTTGAGTTTGGATGTTTAAAAAATAAAAAAAATAATATTTCAAGTTTTTCTACAACCACTTGTTTTTTTTATTAAATTCGTTTTTTTAGTTGTATTGTAGTCATGTAAAAGGAGGACAACTGTATTTTAAATATGATATTTAATTTAACGTTTTTCAAACAGGGTTCATTAGACTATATTTCTACTAGGTACATTATTTTGAAAAAAAATTAAGAAAGCAACTTAAACATTCATAAAAATAGAAGTAATTACTGTTGTAGATTCTTCGTTATATTGTAAACATTGAAATAACTGGAAGCTAAACTTTCTACCTGTTTATATTTAGAGCCAGTGTCTGACAATCTTTTTTTACGCCCTAATATATTTACTTCTAAAGTCGATAAGGGCGCCATATCAGTAGAAAAAAAAACAGAATATCTCCCTTTTTGTCGGTCGCGCGTACACAATGCTTTTTGTTTGTTGTGAATAGCAACTTCGCTTTTTAGTTAACTCGGATATTTTAACATTTCTGAAACAATATTTTCTAATTGGTAAAACGTAAAAAATCGTTAGATTTGACAACTCTGTTGAAACTGGTCGTTCATCTGGCCGCAGCTAAAAACGTAATACATCCGGCCAGCCAACGGCCAGGTAGTTGCGACCTGGTCATCAGTGAGTTCAAACCCTTAGGCAGATTTCTGAAATATAATATATATTTCCTTCGGCCACACACCCGCTTTATCCGACCCCTAAGAGAGACCCGAAAGTACAGCGTAATAGACTCTTTAGTCTTTTTATTAAATACTGTACTGGTTGTCTTTGATTTTAGACTACTAAAAATGACTTAAATAAGGATCATATATTATAAAGATTGCCCTAACAGTGGTTAAATATATGAAGAGTTTGGCCAAAAAAAGCAGACCCGATACCCTTGTTCTTTTCTTATATTGTGATGTTGTATAAAGACCGTAGCGTAATAATAGTAATATAAGTTTAAAAACACCCACACGATATTTTTAGACAATCCTTGCACAATGAAAAGAAATGTTAGCGAAATGGTTGAGGTTTAGTTATGCGAGATTGCACTTGCAGATTGTTCGAAACAAGTAATTCTAAAATATTTTTTTTTTGAAAAATTACAGCATTTTAAATACATAAACTATACAGAAGCACAATAAGTTTTTTGTGTTGTTTTTTTAGATTATTTGAGTTAAGATTTAGTGAAAAGTTTAGTTTTTATGTCGATTGTTTTAAAATGAGTTAAATTAAAGTATTTTAAATAGTTATATCTTGAAATTGTGATAGATTTGATAGTTAAAATTAGATTTAATTTTCAGTTTTTGGTAGATTTTGTTCTGGATACCTACCATATAGGAATAGTTCAATATATAACCGTATTATTGAAAAAAGGCGTCGAATTGGCTTGAAAATTACGATCGATGACATTAACCATATAATTTTACATGCAAAATGACAGAGATCTTTATTTCCAAGTCATCTCTGATGCCGGTCTTTTTTTCGGTCGTATGGTATAACAAAAAGTCTCTAATTCAAAAAAGAATGTATTTTTTTTTCATTTCAAATAAATCTGAACATTCTGGTAATATTTTGAGACAGTGCTATTTATATGATGATTAAATGTCATACCCTTATCAAGTAGCGTAATGTGCCCAGATCCTTTATATC